CAACAACTGGGCGCTAGAGCCAATTTGTCCCTCCCTCTTTTTTATCCTCTCATCAACAGCTGGGTTGAGACTTCCTAGTAACAGCTGGCTATAACACCCACCTTTTTTCATTAACAGCTGGGCTAAGACTCTCCCTTCAACAGCTGGGCTAAGACTCTCCCTTCAACAGCTGGGCTAAGACTCTCCCTTCAACAGCTGGGCTAAGACTCTCCCTTCAACAGCTGGGCTAAGACTCTCCCTTTAACAGCTGGGCTAAGACTCTCCCTTTAACAGCTGGGCTAAGACTCTCCCTTCAACAGCTGGGCTAAGACTCTCCCTTCAACAGCTGGGACAGGCCTCTCCTCCCACCTGTGCTAGACAAGTTTCTATCCCTCGACCGTAATTAAGGCAGAGGTTTATACCTACGGCTGCCTGTCTGTGCGTGTGTCCGTACCTGTCCGTCCGTCCGTGTATCCGTCCGTCCGTCCGTGTCCGTCCGTCCGTCCGTGTATCCGTCCGTCCGTCCGTGTCCGTGCATCACATAACTCACCCTTTGTAGTGTTACGGTAATTGTCGGTTTTAGGTTAGGTTAGGTTAGGTTGGGTTAGGTTGGGTTAGGTTAGGTTGGGTTAGGTTAGGTTGGGTTAGGTTAGGTTGGGTTAGGTTGGGTTAGGTTAGGTTGGGATTAGGTTAGGTTAGGTTGGGTTAGGTTAGGATGGAGTTAGGTTAAACTCTGGACCAGCATTATTAAATCGGGTTCGGTGAGGTGTTAAGTTCGAATCTCTGCTTTACTTAGGCCAACCAACAGCTGGTGATGATTAACCTTGAAAGAAGCCGCCTCCCCCCTCCACCCAAACATACTGTACATACATACATACCACACATACATATATCGTCTATATTTTAATGTTTTAACCTCATTATTACTTTAGCAGCAGCACCTAACTATAACCTAACCTAACCTAACCTAACCTAACCTAACCTAACCTAACCTAACCTAACGTCCTGGTAGCTACATATTTACTATTTCATATTTCCCGGGTGTTGGTCAGCTGTAGGGCGTCACGTGATACACCAGGATGTGAAGCTCTTGTGACGCCCACACACACACACCTGCTTCTGCTCCTGCTAGATAGTATTATTATTGCTAGTAGTAGTAGTAGTAGTAGTAGTAGTAGTAGTAGTAGGAGGAGGAGGAGGAGGTTGACACACGTGTTTCCAGTATTTATACAGATAATAACCATTAACCTTCACTAGTGCCTCCAGAACACCCTCACCATTTACTAATTTAACTTCTTTCTTGTTGATATTTTTTAAAACTATCATGAGAACAAAGTAAAGAAAACTTAATACGAATATTTTTAATTTTTGGTCGTTTTTGTGAAGTGAAAATCCAGTTTATTTTGAAAAGTTTGGGTTAAAATATTTGTTAGTACAGTTACTTGTTTTATAAATGAGTCACTTGATTGGAATTGTATTTTTTTATCATTTTACAGAGGTCAAAGGTCACTGATCAGGATTTCTTTGGGGTTAATTATCTCACTTTAATTCAACTATTTTATTTAGGTAACAATACAGCTTCTAGATCACCTGAAGAATAGCCCCCCCACTATCAAATCTTATCTTTCTTTATAAAATCATTGTTATTGTTATATTTTACTGTTATTATGACTTCTCTTTCGTCTTGTTTCATAATTCTCAATCTTTATCTTTTTTCTTCGTCTTTCAGTTTATCGGATTTTTCCTCTTACATTACATTTCCCACTCCGTCTAAGCTCCTCCCCCTAGTCCCAGAGAGCCGCACTGATTGGCTAGACGACCTCCGAGACGTGCACCTGTTGCTGTTGACGTCACTGTTCCCCCCCCCCTTGCTGACGTCATAGTCCTCTCGGCCACCCAGCACGTCCCTTTTCTTGTCATTTTTTCCCCATTGGTCGACCATAATCCCGGGTGTTGTTGATGTTTATGGTGAACAGCTGTGGAGGCGTAGGGTGGAGGTCTTCATGTTCTGACGGGGTATGTGTGTGTTTTATAACCCCAGACAGACAGACATACTGATACACACACACACATAAACACACGTACATGTCTAAAAGAGAGAGATGTAGAGGGAAACAGACGACAGACAGACACAGACAGACAGACAGGGAGAAACCATGATCTTAGTAAGGGTGAAGTCCTTCGTGTAGATCCTGGAGGGTGAGAGGAGGGCAGGGGAAGAGGACAGCAGGCAGGGAGGAAGAGGAAATAGTTAAAGGAGGAGGAGAAGTGGAGGATAGGAGAAGAAGGGGGAGGGAATCTGAATACCTCATTTTACATATCTTGACGTAATCTAAGTCTTTGGTCTGTTTTCCTCACACCCAGAGCTCATCCTCCTTGCCCTCCTCCCCACCCTCCTCCCTTACCCCTCCCTCCTTACCCCTCCTCCTCTATCTCTCACCATCTCTCCATTTTTCTCCCTCACTATCTCTCACCATCTCTTTCTCTCTCTCTTCTCTCACTCACTATCTATCATCATCTCTCTCTTCTCTCACTCACTATCTATCATCATCTCTCTCTTCTCTCACTCTCTATCTCTCGCCATCTCTTTCTCTCTCTCTTCTCTCACTCTATCTCTGCCATTTCTCCATTTCTTCTCCTCACTATCTCTCATCATCTCTCTCTTCTCTCACTCACTATCTCTCATCATCTCTCTCTTCTCTCACTCTCTATCTCTCGCCATCTCTTTCTCTCTCTCTTCTCTCACTCACTATCTCTCATCATCTCTCTCTTCTCTCACTCACTATCTCTCATCATCTCTCTCTTCTCTCACTCTCTATCTCTCACCATCTCTCTTTTTACCCTCAATATCTCTCATCATCTCTTTCTCTCTCTCTTCTCTCACTCACTATCTCTCATCATCTCTCTCTTCTCTCACTCTCTATCTCTCACCATCTCTCTTTTTACCCTCAATATCTCTCATCATCTCTCTTTTATCTCCTATTTTTTGCCGCGAGAGAGATGATTGTTTTCAGTCTTTCAGAAGTCTACAACACTTCCCACAACCCCCGCCGCTGTCCCGCTGTTCATGTAAAGGAAATTAATCGCAGAGAAAAGTAGAGCTTGCGTGAATAAGGTAGATCTTGCGTGAATAAGGTAGATCTTGCGTGAATAAGGTAGATCTTGTGTGAATAAGGTAGATCTTGCGTGAATAAGGTAGATCTTGTGTGAATAAGGTAGATCTTGCGTTAATAAGGTAGATCTTGTGTGAATAAGGTAGATCTTGCGTGAATAAGGTAGATCTTGTGTGAATAAGGTAGATCTTGCGTAAATAAGGTAGATCTTGTGTGAATAAGGTAGATCTTGCGTGAATAAGGTAGATCTTGTGTGAATAAGGTAGATCTTGCGTGAATAAGGTAGATCTTGTGTGAATAAGGTAGATCTTGGGTGAATAAGGTAGATCTTGTGTGAATAAGGTAGATCTTGGGTGAATAAGGTAGATCTTGCATGAATAAGGTAGATCTTGTGTGAATAAGGTAGATCTTGCGTAAATAAGGTAGATCTTGTGTGAATAAGGTAGATCTTGCGTGAATAAGGTAGATCTTGTGTGAATAAGGTAGATCTTGCGTAAATAAGGTAGATCTTGTGTGAATAAGGTAGATCTTGCGTAAATAAGGTAGATCTTGTGTGAATAAGGTAGATCTTGCGTGAATAAGGTAGATCTTGTGTGAATAAGGTAGATCTTGGGTGAATAAGGTAGATCTTGCGTGAATATGTAGACTTTATGTAATAAGGTAGATTTTAGTGAATATAGATCTTGCGTGAATAAGGTGTAGATCTGTGAATACAGATCTTGCGTGAATAAAGGTAGAGATCTTGGTGAATAAGGTAGATCTTGTGTGAAGGTAGATCTTGTGTGAATAAGGTAGATCTTGCGTGAATAAGGTAGATCTTGTGTGAATAAGGTAGATCTTGGGTGAATAAGGTAGATCTTGTGTGAATAAGGTAGATCTTGGGTGAATAAGGTAGATCTTGCGTAAATAAGGTAGATCTTGCGTGAATAAGGTAGATCTTGCGTGAATAAGGTAGATCTTGCGTGAATAAGGTAGATCTTGCGTGAATAAGGTAGATCTTGTGTGAATAAGGTAGATCTTGCGTGAATAAGGTAGATCTTGTGTGAATAAGGTAGATCTTGCGTGAATAAGGTAGATCTTGTGTGAATAAGGTAGATCTTGGGTGAATAAGGTAGATCTTGTGTGAATAAGGTAGATCTTGGGTGAATAAGGTAGATCTTGCGTAAATAAGGTAGATCTTGCGTGAATAAGGTAGATCTTGCGTGAATAAGGTAGATCTTGCGTGAATAAGGTAGATCTTGCGTGAATAAGGTAGATCGTGTGTGAATAAGGTAGATCTTGCGTGAATAAGGTAGATCTTGCGTGAATAAGGTAGATCTTGCGTGAATAAGGTAGATCTTGCGTGAATAAGGTAGATCTTGCATAAATAAGGTAGATCTTGCAGAATAAAGTAGTTTTATTGGGTATCTGTCTGCCTGTCTCTCTGTCCTTCTGTTTATCTTTCTGTCTGTCTGTCTGTCTGCCTGTCTATTTAACTATCTACAATATGTTGAATAATGTTCTCGTGAGATCTGAGGACTCGCATGATATTATTTTGTTCATTACATCTTCTTGTCCAGTAATTATTAAGTTTAATAGTTTTTTGTTATTTTATACCGGAAGTTGTTACCAGGAGTCTAAAGGTTAATCCGAGAAGATAGACACAGTGAAGGAGAGACAGTGAAGGAGAGACAGTGAAGGAGAGACAGTGAAGGAGAGACAGTGAAGGAGAGACACAGTGAAGGAGAGACACAGTGAAGGAGACACAGTGAAGGAGAGACACAGGTAAAGGAATGACACAGTGAAGGAGAGAAACAGTGAAGGAAGGATAAAAAAAACAGTGAGGGAGACAGAAAGAAGGAAGGAGACAAGGGATGACCCAGGGGAACACCAGAGCTGGGCGGAGGAATAAGAGAGTTGGCACCGGCAGTGACAGAGGGACCTTGCGAGGTGGCTGGCTGGCACTGGTGGTATAGTGTCACCAGGGTGGCAGCTGTGACAAGACTGGCTCACCCTCTCTCCCTCTCTCTCTCTCTCTCTCTCACTCTCTCTCGCCCCGCCCCGACTCGCTCCATCTAGTCCTTTTTCCACTTTACCCTGAGATGACCGTCTGTGCCCACCGCTACCGCTACCACTCTACCACATCACCACTACTACTGCTACTACTACCCGCGGAGGAAACAGGAGTAGTGTAGTGACGTGTGTGAGTGTGGTGTGTGTGTGTGTGTGTGTGCGTGTGTGGTGTTCACGTTACAGTGTGGTCAGGGAGGTGTGGTTGTGGTGTGATACGGGAGACTGACTGTCTTGGTAAGGTGGAGAGGAACACACAGTTAGTTCCCACCTCCCAAAGACTGTGTGGTGAGGAACAGTTTATATTTTATCAAGAACAGTCAGATGGTAGACTGTGTGAGTGATACCAGACAGTCTGTTTACATGTGGAGACTGTCTTATACTCGGCCGACAAACTGTGTGTCTTGGATTGATGGAAATATTCTATACTTCGCGTCCACCTCATTCAGCGTTCGTGTAAGTGTTTGTCCTTTAGTGATGTTGATATTAAAACAGTTTATTTACCTACAAGAATACAGTTACAAAACGAAAAACAACAATAATATTAAAACAGCCTAGTAAGTGTCTGAACCCTGATCGAGACACCTGTTATATACTGTACAATTATCTCAATGAATTATTATACAAAATATCATCTGGATCATTATATGTAAACACGGTAAATAATTATTAAAATGTTACTTCATTTATCACCTTTTTTACATATATTTTCTTTTTTACATATCTATTATATTTACACTTATTTACAGCATAGTGTTGTTGATATATAATAATATGGTAAGTAGGAACAAGACAGACATACACGTAGAGAGCATCATATTGTGTTGAAAGACTATATTTTCAAGAGGTGATTTATGGTAAGGGAGAGGGTAGTTTTGGCTAGGATAGTTAGGGGTAAAGATATTCCACCCATTATGGTAGTTTATGGTGGTACGGTAGTTAGTGTTATCGGTATACATACAGTACACTAACTACTGCTTGTAACAGTCATTGAGGGAACAGCATTAACGAGGCTATCTGGTGGTTGTGTTGTGAAGTAACGGTTGTACACAGTAAGGACAGGTTGTACACAGTAAGGACAGGTTGTACACAGTAAGGACAGGTTGTACACAGTTAAGGACGGTTGTACACAGTAAGGACAGGTTGTACACAGTAAGGACAGGTTGTACATTGTCAAGTTAGAAGAAATATTCACGTACTAGATAGACAGACGAATAGATAGATAGATAGACAGTCGGATAGATAGATAGATAAGGGGGAAATAAATCACGTTCTAATCACTAAGACTGTCACATTAACAGCCTGAGGTCAGAGTGTTTCCAGCCTCCATGTTGGTAGACCCTCTGGTGGTGAGTCATGGAACTTGTCATCACAGCAACAGGTGGGCGGCCAGGGGGAAGCGGTGGTGTGGTGTGGTGTGGTGTGGGTGGTGTGGTGTGGGTGGTGTGGTGTGGTGTGGGTGGTGTGGGTGGTGTGGGTAGTGTGGTGGTGGGTGGTGTGGTGGTGGGTGGTGTGGTGTGGTGTGGGTGTGTGTGTGTGTGGGTGGTGTGTGTGTGGTGGTGTGTGTGTGTGTGTGTGGTGGGTGGTGTGTTGTGTGGGTGTGTGGGGTGGTGTGGGTGTGTGGGGTGGTGGTGTGGGTGGTGTGTGGTGTGGGTGAGTGTAGTTGGTGTGGGTGGTGTGGGTGGTGTGGTCTAGGTGGTGTGGGTGGTGTGGTGTGGGTGGTGTGGTGTGGTGTGGGTGGTGTGGTGTGGGTATGGGAGATGGTTGTGGTGTGGGTTAATGCGGATATGGTAGACTGGTGTGGGTTGATGGTGGTTGACGGTGTGGGTTGGTATAGACATGAGAAATAATTGTGTCTGGTGGTGATGGTGATTGTGGTTAATGTACAACAATAATTACCTGTAAACCTAATTAACACCATACAGGTAAACTAAAGTATAAGTTTCTCTCAACAGGTGTTATGGAACTACCATGAATAACACGGATATACAGTGAAGAACAGATGAATAATAATGAATAACGTGTAGTGAACAAGAGAATTTTAAAGTGAATATATTCAGTGGAAACTTTGGATACAACAGTGAATTTTTTTTTTTTTAAGTTTGACTCGACAGAAAATAATCGACTGAATGGAAATTAATTTGTGGCGGGAATTATAGCGACGAAGGGGTAGACACTTGGCTGCAGGAGTGACAGTATGGGTAAAAAGTCGACAACGCAGCAGTACAGCAGCAACAGAGGACCTCATTCCTCCTCGGTTCACAACAGAGGCAGGTTAACACATCATCAACAGCAGCTGGGTAGTAACAAGAAGAGACGAGGTGACAGTACCAACATAGTCCCTCATAGACTGACTCCCAACATGGCCACCACCAAGACCCTCACTATGTTGACCCCCGTGGAGGGTCTGGAGGCCGGGGGAGAGATCCTCAGACTAGCTCCTGCTGACGTCAAGCAAGAGGATGACTCCGAGCTCCAACTTTTCTCTAATCACCTCACTAGAAATATCGTCTCTTGTTCCTCTTCACCAGCACCAGTAGCAACGCCTTGTTCGTCTTCCACCACGGTGTCTTCATCGTCAGGAGTCATCGTCCCCAGCAGTAGTAACGTGGTGGTGGTGGCAGGTACCAACAGTAACCTCAGTTCATCTTCGGGTTTTAATTCGGTGTTTACTTCGTCAGGAATATCGTGTTCTCCTCCACTACCCATAGCAACATCACATGCACCTTCTACTATCTCCTCCCTCTTCGTCGTCCCCCCAGCGGTCTCCTCCTCTTCGTCAGCGTCTCCTCCATGCCCGTCTTCCTCCTCATCCTCCAGCTCGACGACCTACTCCTCCACCACCTCCTCCTCGGGTGATTCCTTGACACAAATCGGGGGGAAGCAGAGGTGTCATGCCAACGCCAGAGAGAGAGACAGAACCCACAGGTCAGTCAGTCAGTCGTTAAGTCAATCAGTCAGCACACAATTGTGTCACTCTTCCCTCACACCTGTCACTGTACCTTCATCATCATCATTATCATCATCATCATCATCATCATCATCATCATTATTATTATTACGCATTGTTTTACATTTGTTGTCCAGTGTACAGATTTACATAGAGTACACACTTAATTACCTTAGTTATTAGAACAGATATGCCCGTACAACCAACAACAACAACAACAACAACAACAACAACAACAACAACAACAACACGTATTTATCAGTCCATATTAAAATATTTGTCAATTTGGCTTCGTCCCTTTCTCCCATCCCTTGAGAAATTCCTGTCTGTGTCATTGTTTAAGGTCAAGGTCAGAGGTCAAAGAGAATACCCAAAGTTTCTTCTCGACACTAACAATAAATGGTTTGATTCAAGTAACTATGAAACAAGTTTGGTTTTCGTTAGTAAGTGTACCATTGAATTACAGTTAAGGCAGATTAAAAGTTACCATGATACCTTTAGTGAAGTGAATATATGTTTTATGTTTTTGTCTTATTAACAGTGGAGGAAGACGCATAACAAACTATTCTCTTTATACAGTATATGTTAAGACTTTTCTGCTTCATACACGTTGAAACAAATGTAAAGCGTAATGTATTTTCCATTATAATATTTTACAATGAAACAAAAGTGGAAATCTTAGCTTATATATTCCATCATAAGATTTTACAATGAAACAAAAGCAAGTCGTTAGTATTTTTCGACTATAATATTTTACAAGGAAACAGTGTAAACATTAAATATATTTGTCATTACAACATTTCTATAAACACATTAAAGTAGATACACTATAGTTTACCCAGGACGAGGTGGTTATAATACTGTAGCTAGTGGGGTGCTGCTCCAACTGTTTGTTACTCCTTTCTCACCCCAACTCAGAAGTCCCAAACTGAACTTGGCGTCGTCCCCCCTCAGCGTGAACAGCGCCTTTAGCACACTGAGGACTCTCATCCCCACCGAGCCAGCAGACCGCAAGCTCTCCAAGATAGAGACTCTCCGCCTAGCCTCCTCCTACATCAGTCACCTGGGCACTCAGCTTCTTGCAGGTATTAACATGAAGACTATGGAACCTAACCTAACCAAACCAACACAAATAATGAATCTAACGTAACTTAACCAACAATTATTTTAACCTAACCAGTATCATTTCCACCCTAACCTAATCTGACCTGACCTAACCTATCCTATATTCCAACTTAAACTAACCACCACGTTATTGTAAACAAACATTACTTATAAAAAGTTAATTAACCTGACTAACACCTATGCTAACCTAATGTAACCAGCACATAATGTCTTCTAACTGCAACAAACTATATAATTAAAGTCACAACATAAAGATGGTTAACCTATTGATGTAAAAGAAAATCCATAACTTAATTTTTCTAACAAATAAAAAGTGAAAAAGAATGAAAAAGAAAATTAGCCCAGTCAAAACTATTAAAAAAAGTAGTGTTCTTACTCAAAGCTTAATGACGCAATGTGTTTAGGCTATCACAGCTTTTTGATGCGTTTACCTCAATCCACCATATAGGGGTTAATATTAACAAAGACTCTTGTTATAGGAAGGACGGTATTAATGTACATTACCTCGTCACTTGAGTATTGTACAAGTGGTAGAGGATAGATCGCGCACACATACAATTTCCAATGCATCTAGATAGTTTATTTGGGTTTTAGCTGAGCCATTCTATAAGATACAGAGAATTAAGTCAGGTGTTTATAAGTCTTTAGTTTGAGTAGAAATAAGAACCTTCGTCATATCTCTGGTTGACGGTATTTACAGGACCAGTTGATCAGCCTTGTCTCCGTCACTCTCAGTACACATATACCGGGTCGGGTGAGCGGCGGCCAGTCTGTACCTTCTGCCTCGCCTCTCTCAAGAAACAAGTAAGTTCTCATACCTTTGTTTTGTATGTATGTATGTATGTATGTAAGTATGTGTATTTTTCATATTTATCTTGAGAACGTTAAGGTTTTACATTTTGCAAACCTCAATGCAAAAACACTTGTTGAAAATGTGGTGTTAAAAGAACTTTCTCCCTATTATAACATTTCCCTAAGCTGTGTATTATTCACTACGTCTCACTGCGTGCGTCATTCACTACGTCTCACTGCGTGCATCATTCACTACGTCTCACTGCGTGCATCATTCTCTACGTCTCACTGCGTGCATCATTCACTACGTTGTGCTCTTAACTCACTATAGTTTGATTCTTGTACTGATCTAAGTTTCCTCTACAGCAGAAGGCGAGCAGCTCAGGGAGTAACGATGGCGTTTTGGCCTCAATGAGCAGCGTGCCCCCTGACTTGGCCTCCTATATGAAGACCTCCATGCCCCTAGACGACCCCACTTTCCAGGTCTGTTCCTTCCTCTTCTGACCTCCTGACCCTCAAGACCTCCTGACCTGGCCTCCTGACCTTGAAATCCTTCATGCCCCTGGATAACTCCACGAGAAAGCTTCTCGTGGCCTCCCCGCGTTGCAGAACGTTTAGAGCTCCTTGTGCTGAAGTGACTGATTGAAAACAAAACTTTTGGTGTGGTGGACGCGGACTGACACTGAAAATGGTCATACCCAGAGACAAGACAGTGGACACTCACACATTGATCCAAATATTAAATAAAGTGTTCGGATATCAATATTCTGTTAGTGGATGAACTCTTGATTCAAGACGCGTTGAAAAAAATCAATTTGAGGTCACGGGAATGTATAGTAATTCCAGAGTTACGAATACTGGACAGTTCGAACACTTCATCTGCTGTAAGATCTGTGTGACAGTACTTATCAAGGACAAGAAAAGACGCAGATAAGTGTATACCCTTAGTGTATTGAGCACCTCTACACCAATAAGCAACAAGTGTCGTGGTCAGGTAAAGTGTACACAGCCTAGATAAGAAAATGAAAAATAAATGTTTAAGTTTTATAGATAAACTTCGTGTTAGAAAATAAAGAGGAAACAATGATTGACAGATCTAATGGTCCAGTAAACAAGTGTAACAGAAAAAACTAATACTTGTAACGTCACAGTGAATATAAATAATTTATATTCTTCTTGAGATTCGTATTTATCGTTATCGTTTATCAGGTATAGTAAATATAACACTTAATCTCACAGTGAAAATGCAACTTAAAACTGGGTCTGTTTCTCTTGTGGATTTGTATTACTTCTGAAAATTTGTTGTGCTGTAAAATTTTTGCTCCTTGAGTGTATAGAAGCGGACGTATTGTGTACAGACGACACACGGAGAGACTTACATTAATTTTAACAGCACAACAACTGGGAAACAGATTTTGCATATTTAGTTTTAATGAAACAGTAACAAATGCTATCTATAACGAGCTTATGTTTATTTGATTTATTTGTTGTGATGAGTTTAAAACTTAACTCAGCAATGATGGAGCGCCAGTCTTGCCTCAGGAGTCAACGAGTGAGTTTATGAACAGCGTGAAGAACTCATTAATCTATTCATTATCGAATCTCCCAAATATTACCATTGGGTAAGGAAATTAAGTGGTCTGTCTCATTTTAATGATGAGTGTATGATTATGACATTCGACGTATAAACAAAATAAAAAAGAAAAGAAAATGTGGAGTGATCGAGGTAATGATGCACTGCTGTTTTTACTATACCGAGTTTGGGGAAGTGAAATGAAATGCTACAGAACTGCTTCAAGCAAGAATGAGTGTTTAGGGTTAAGAGATATTTTATGTCGAAAAAGAGAATGTGAAAAAAACCAGACCAGATTGCAAGCTTAGAAAATGGCTCCAGCTAATGATAAACTGTGTAAATATTGTAAGACAAAACAGTTAGTACCTATGATATTGTAAAGAAACAGAAGAAAGTACCGCAGAGATACTTATAAAGTGAGTGACACCTTAAGCAGCCGTCGTAGTGTATACTTAAAGTGAACCGTAAGTATATTTAGTTACTTATATTTATAAAACCCTTGTAAAATGTTTTCCAGTCAAATATTGGAATATTAAGTTGACTTGGTTTTGTTATTTATTTGAGTTATGGAGATTATTGACAGAAAGATATCGGCATTGTGACTTAAATCAGTATAATGCTACTTGCTTAAAGATTCTGAGCGATTCTTGGGTCAAGGCGGAAAGATCGGCCCTAATGACTCAGGCGTTGACGGTCAGTAAACCAAATCACGCGGACTAGTGGACGTAGGAAGCCATTAGGACAACTAGAAATAGCTGAAGAAAGAGTGGAGTGGGTGTGAGTTTTAAGGTCACCTCTGGGTTTTGTTTACAAAGTGGAGGGGTCGACGCTCATTGGCTCAGCCGACGGATGTTCTCCTCACCAAATGACATTGATGTTTACAAACACAATAAAGAAAAAATGCTGTAACTTCCATAAGAAACTGTTCCTGCATCCCCTTGATATTTGGTTTTCATCTTTAAGTCAGTTGTGTTATGCTTCTGAAATCTCCATATTATTATTATTGTTATTATTATTATTATTATTATTATTATTATTATTATTATTATTATTATTATTATTATTATAAGCTTTTTATTGGATGAAACAATGCTTTATTAGTGGGTTCGTGGCTGCACCGCTTTAGATTTTTGTTCTTCCGTTCTCTTAAAACATTGTTCCCTGGTAAAATTTAACCTGAAGATAATGATAATTTCCAGACGGTTGTCACGAGCTCACTATGTAAGTGTTACATTCTCATGTAGTAGATATTCTACATAGTTTTCTCGCCAGCATTCTCAGTCAACTAATCGTTGCAGTAAGTTATTCCACTAACTTTATTTTGTTGGGTATATGAATAAAATTTCATACACTGTTAATGAGTTTCGTTTCTCCCTGCTGATTGACTTAATGATTTACTGTAATAATGTAACCAACTTGGCACGAGACCGCCTGGAGTCCAGTTACCTTTCATCAACTCTTGTTCTAACCCATTTTACTACTTGTGGCTCATTTATAACGTTTCCCATTGTTGAGAAATGAAAGGGAATTTGAAGCATTGCAGAAATAATATGCAACAAGTTGTAAGCTTATAATGTTGTGCAGAAGCGTTCATTAGAGCATGTGCAATATTTGTTAACTAACTTCATTAGGTTGAGTGAGTTATTACCACCGGGTGATGGTAATGTACAACTAAAATGCTGAATATCTTATTTGTATGTTGTTAATACGATGGAGAATAAGCTTGGTTTAGTATAGTATAAGAAAAGCTAAGTGAATTGATTTAAAGTTCATTTTTGAAGATATGGGTTGATGTTTCCCGTATAGCCGAGTTAATTACACACACACACACAAAACGCTACCGGGTGCCGCAACATTAATATGTAATGGTTATGACTAATGTTCCCTCTGCTGCCACCACCACCACCACCCTGTCCCTCATCTGGCCTACACATCAAACACCCCACCCTCCCACACATACTACACTTACACCCACTCATCCCCACACACACATACTACATTTAAACCCACTCACCCCCACACACACTACACTTGCACCCACACACTTGCACCCACCACCCACACTTACACCCCCTCCTTCGTCTGGCCTACACATCAAACACCCACCCACACACACTACACTTACCATCACCACCTGACACTCACAAGAAACACTCATTATCACACCTTATTCCTCTTTGCTTTTTAGGAATAATGTTTTAATTCAGCGTAGAGAAGCGGCTGCATGAAATAGTTTGATGCAAATAATGTTTAAGGTCGTTATATTATAAAACTAAAAGATAACGTTAATTTTCACATATGAAATTTGTATAAAAAGCGCCATAATATGAGTTATATCAACCACGAGCCTAATGTTTAAAAACAAATAAATTTCACAAAAGATTACCCCATGGCAACAAATGTCAAAATAAGAAAATGGATAAAGTTAATAATATTCCACGTGTTTTATTTCCCAGACGACGCCAGTCAACTCGGCTAACTAGATCTACCCTTTACAAAACTATCTTAGAAGTAGGGTCGTTAGGTTCGGTCGTCTGTTTCTCTCCTTCCCTCTAAAAAAAAAAGGAAAAAAAAGAAAAAAAAAAAGGCTTCGTAGTAATATCCTTGGTATTTTTTCCAAACAATTTTCACTGCTGGTAGACCCGTCAACAGGTGGATAAGTGGCAGCTGTTGGTTACATATCGTTATTATTGTGAACTTGATGTGTGACTTACAATGACTCAGACTTTAAGTATATTAAGTTTAAGTTAAGTATATTTTCTGGTGTTACAAGTCCATATAACTTCACGTACAGGAAACAAGATCGTCCGTACAAGGTTTTACATATAAGTGATACAACGGAATGACAAGGCTGTTACCGTATATCCAGTAAAGTTAGTTATTTATACATATAATTAACTACAACGTTGTTTTGTTTAAATCTACAGAAATATAAACACAAGTTGTATTTCGAACATATGCGGTCTTTCTTGCAGTATTTAAGAGGACTGTTCTTGGGTTACAGTCGAAAATAATATACAGTGCCTTTGTCTTTGTGTTTTATCTTCACTTAGATATTTGTGTTATGATTCCTGTGGTTTTACTGTTTCTTCAGATATTATATTGTGTTTTGACAGTTTTTCTAAGTGACTTAAATTGTAAACTGTTGGCTTGTCTCTTCAGTTGACTAGGCTGAGTTGGGAATACTTACATAGTTAAGTTACCATAATTTCCCTTAATCTGTATCCCATTTTTTACCGGTACAAATAATTTTTCATGTAGGCAAATCGACATAGATACGTTCCTGTGTTATTGTTATTTTTTATTCATGTATTTGTTAATTATATATAAATTAATGAAATCGTTCTGAATTTCTGTGGTCAAGTCGCCGGTTTGTTTACCATGTTACGTCAGAGTAGATTAGGTTAGGCCAAGGATAAGATACTGTTTTAGTTCTTGGATTAGGCTATGTTAGGTTAGGTTAGGTTAGGTTAGGTTAGGTTATAGCTGACCATGATGAGAAAAAAATGTTGGTAGTAAATAAAATAAATTACTTTTCTGTGGAAGCGAGAATTATACTAAGCTTCAGAATAGCCGTGGACAATCCTATCAACGGCTCCTACACAGGTCACTTGGCCACCGGGTAATTTATCATTTCACCACTAATTATCAACTTATTACCGTGCGTATAGTTGTTCTATTCTGTATTACTATGATATGGTCTTAATTGTCCAGTGTTAGTACCTAGATAACACCTGCGCTGCTTTGAAGAGTCACAGTGGATAACATGCTTCTCACATCTGCCCCAAACTATTGGTTCGTTGCTCGATGGTATATTTTGGTCTTGAATTAATCTACGTCAAATCTGTTGAATGAAAAAGGAGTTTGAGAAATCATATACATTTTACTCCTGGAAATCTTAAACACCTTAGCTGCCTATCTGAGGTGAGAGTGATTACGTGTGTGTGTTGTTGTTGCTGCCGCTAGTGTGCAGCTGTTGTAATCATTCTTGCTTCTGCTGTAACCCTTGTCGTCGGCAGTGAGGCGGTCAACGACTAAGTGGGTATCTAACTATCTTCATTTTATATGTCAGTAGCATGACTTGACAACAGAGAGAGCTAAGCTGTTTAAACTTACCACACATAATGATTGTCCCTCGTGTAACGAGGATGGCCGGCCCTAGGGCCATCTACAGTTAGGCGTGAATTTATTTAAGGTGTAGAAGCTGTCGCCAACACAACAACCACACCTAAGTTAACGTGTTGCATGACCCAGTGTCAAGGAATAGTCCGAAAAGACCGGACAACTCGCCAACTGCACTGGATAACCATTACCCCGGAACACGATCCGTAAATCGATTAACATCCAGGTCCCCAATTACTGCTGGGTAGACAGAGGCAAATGGCGTAAAGAAACTTACCTTAGTTTCACCCTGTTTGGGGATCGAACTCAGGTCCTCTCGCTTACGAGGCGAGCATGCTGACCATTACACCACACATTAAACACATGCATCTATCATGACCACCCATAGAGCTGCCCCGTTTGTAGGGTTAAGAGGTCATAGGTCAGGTAGATGAAATATATCCATTAACTAGAACAGAAAGAACTAGCTAGCACCTAATTTTCACCATGACAACTTCAGAAGTTATGTTTTTTTTGGGTCAAAGGTCAAAGGTCAGTGACAGCTGCGAAAAAGACATCATGAGGGATGAGTTAGCAGCCCCCTCCAGTATATTCTAATTATTGATGCTGTTTACTTTTACTTTTATCCTCTTCACCAAAGTCACAGTACCTCTGTGTTTGTTGCTATAACTGCAGCTATTGTTATAATGTTGTTCTTGTTTGTTGTTGTTGTTGCCTCCTAGTCACAGGCCTGGCATTTGACATTATTAGGGACCTGCCACTCTTTGCCATAAACAGATGAAATGTACCGGGAACTTTCCCCCCCACACACTCATCATTCTCTCACTTTATGTAACTTGACAAAACCTATGACCCTTCAGGCTTTTACGCCCTTAATGTACGAGTCATAAAGGCAAGTATGAACTTTTCATACTTCCCTGTTGGGCGCTGTAAACGCTTCTGCGCTTCACCTTGCACAGGATGTAAGGGGGTGCCCAATAAACTAGCCCCCTCGGGGGCAAATCTGAATCTTGTTGTTGCCACCACCAGCACCACTAACCACCAACACCACCACCACCACCACCACCACCACCACCACCACCAGCACCACTAACACTACCAACACCACCACCACCACCACCATCCACACCACACCACCATCCACACCACACCACCACCATCCGAATGTGTGATGACGATTATAATTGGTGGCTGTATCACTGTCAGGATAAATATCAAACAATATAAAGGTAAAAATTTGAATAATAATAAACTATTATATCGTTAAGATCATGAGAAGTTTCCAAAGGTTAAATAACGAAGAAAATTTTATGCGAGTCTTATAGCAGCTCTGGTTGTTGTTGTGTTGATAATTCATTAATATAGCTAATTCATTTTGCAACACTGAATCTCACCTTCCATTCCTTTGACAACTGAAGCCATGAAGATCTTCCTATAATGGTTCACAGTCCGTCAGCTTTTGTTGAGTACGATAACATTATTAACTCAGTCACGTTGGGTAGTTTCAGATACAGGTTAGACAGGTACATGAATGGTGATGGTTGGATGTAAATAGTTGTATGTCGTGGGCCAAGAGACCTGTTTTAGTGTCATTCATTCGTAAGGTGGAGGACACGATACCCTCCATGCCCGGTGACGTGATTCCTATGCCCCCTAGAGAACGTCAGGTCAGGTCAGGTCAGGTCACGGAGAAAAATAGTACTTAGTTATGTCACGTTGAAAGTTCTACAGCTGAAATAGTTAGAAAACATCACTGCACTAGTTGTTGTATAATGGTGTGTGTGTGTGTGTGTGTCTGTCTGTCTGTTTGACGTTTCTGGACAATATATGACCCTCGTACCTGTGATATATATATATATATATATATATATATATATATATATATATATATATATATATATATATATATATATATATATATAGATATATATATATATATATATATATATAAATATTGTGACATACACCACCATGACGCAGTAACACGAACACAATACAGTAGTTAGATAAGGTGACCATTGTGACGTCAAGGAGGATTTATCTACTCTTCATCAACACCAAAATAAACAAAAGTGAGATGTGAGAGACAGAGGTAGGAGTACTGTACCTCACTTTCTTTTGTTTATTATTATTTAGGTTTTATTTAGTTTACTGTATCACTATAAGTTAGAATCGCTAGCGTCTGTCTCTCGGTCTGTCACTACGAAATGTTCCGTTCAGTAACCCGATAAA